CTTTTTTCCTGTCCTCCCTAGTGACATGCTTTCCCCCCTTCCTTTCTTCCTCTTCCTATTTCCTACCTAGTTCCTCCCACCCTCCCTCTCTTCCTCCCTCCCTCCCTCACTCCCTCCCTTTCTTCCCTCCCTCCCTCCGTCTTTCCATGATCCATCCAAGAACACTAAAATTGAAATAGAAAGTTTTAAGACATGGAGAATCCGGTTAAAAATTATTTTCGAGCCATGCCAAAGCTTTATTTCGATTCGAGTACATCCATGTAATAAAGAAATGAAAAGGCGCTTTTTAAGAAAACAAAATCCAGCGATGTTATAAAACTACGTGATGCTGCTATGTTGGGATATTTTTATCAACATTTTGCCGTTTATTCTATTATTTGCAATTTTTGGACTTCCAACTCATCCATTATAGTATTGATCTTAAGGTGACTGCCTACCTTTGAACGTTCGATTTGAGCTCACAGATACACAGTCAGTAATTAATAACCTCAAAAGAAAAAAAATTAGAACTCTTAATTTTAAAATCATTGTCAGTTCAAAAAATAGAATATAGAACCAGAGATCTAAATGGTGCATGGTGGGAAGTACGTTAATTAGATGTTTCTAGTGATACAACCCCTGGAATGTTCGCTATATTCAGAGCAATAGTTAATAATAATATTCAAATTGTCGCCATAATATCCAGCAACTTTAGAGCTTCGAAGTCATCCCAGCATTGTAGAAATCAAGAACGCTGTAAAAAAATACGATTAGTTATAGTAAGGTTAAGGTGCCTGTGACCTAATTCAAAATCTTCAGCATCAATTCGAAATGAAGTGAAAAGTTGAATAGTAAAATATTTTCATATGGTTTGAGTGATGCATCTTAGAGATATCAAGGTTTATACTCCCAATATGTTAGTGACGTGACKTCAAAGGAGGCATTTCAGTTTATCTGCCATCACATGGAATTCGAAACACTGATTGCTATGAGATTTCTTTTGCTAGAACCTTTCTTTGCCTTAGTAAGAAAATGATGTTTTATAGCCCCAGAAGAGTTTTGTATATTTAATAATGTCTCCTTTGACGTCACACTCATTAACTTATTGGAAGTATAAACCTTGATATCTCTAAGATGCATCACTCAGACCATATGAAAATACTTTTCTATTCAACTTTTCACTTCATTTATCATCAATACTGAAAATTTTGAGCTAGGTGTCATAGGCACTTCGGAACAGTATCCGGAGCTATACGCATGAAGTAAGAATCTGCTTGCCTTCTGCCCGGCCCCGCATCAGTGCATGAATAAGAATGTTGGTTAACGTCTATTAGACGTAGCAAAGCCGCAATTTTTTTTTTTAAAAAAACTTAATTTCTGACTGCGCATGCGCAGAATCATAGGCAAAGGTCCTGACAACGTCAGTTAAGTAAGCATCTCTTTCCTGTAGGGTTTTCAACATTCATTTATTATTTTCATAAGCGCGCTTTCTTTACATCGATGAAGTCGATATAATATTGAATATTTTAGTTTTGTGATGAGCGTTACTCATTCATCTGAACTGTAGCACTTCGAGATAAGTTAACGTTAAACAAGTTTCTCTCTCATTTGTTTACCAGTCGGTAGCTAAAACGTAAATAGTAATACGCTATTTACAGATAAATAAGAATCTGGACTTGAGAGACCTATTATATAGAAGCCATATTTAATTCTAGTTCGTAACTCATTGACCATGGAAAAAAAATGCAAAAAGCAGTAATTCAAAATTACAACTTTCAACACTTCATCCAAGGTTATATACGTAGAGTAGCCTGCATAACGGCCCTCGCCTTTGCTTGGGCTGCGAGTATATAGAAAATGCTTCGGGCCTCGCCAGTGGTAGCTTTGATCTGTCATCATTAATTGCTTAAAATTTAAATGAATTTATGAGTGAGACTTTTTCCGCATTTTAGATTTTAAAATGTTATCCAAGCTTAGATTGGTATTTCAAAAAAGATGTTGTAAGTGGTAGCTTTGCTTGGCTTTAATTTAAGCTATAAAACTAAAAAGCTAAAAAACACTATATTTAAAGAAAAACAGTGTGAAACTTTCAAAACTTTGAAAATTTTCATTCCAGCTTTTAAAATGTTATCTAAGATTATTAGAATATTTGTGCTTATATTTGCACAGTGATAATTGATATTGTGGACTCCTTTACAAAGAATATTGCCAGTCATAACTATGCTTCGCGGTTCATTACCATTGACGTAAAATCAATAAATGAAACCTTGTCTCAATATCACAAAGATTACGTCCGAAGTCCTATTTCGAGCTCCACTGAAGTATTCAATTCATTATGATTGCATAGGACTACCTAAAATGACTTAATTGATTTATCATGATATTTTTTTAAAAGTATAAAAAAGCTTCTGTTTAAGCGGATTCTTAGCTCGAATCTGGATTCGTGGTCGTCAAGAGTTCGAGCCCGTACAAGAGCCGTACAAGAGCAGCAAAGCAATAGAAGAACCGACAAATAAAATCCTGCAAATACGAGGTAAATATGGACATTGTTTATTTGATTATCTTGTCATTTAGTAATCTATTATTTTCAAGATGGAGACAACTATTGAAACTGACGAAATTGGCTTTGAGCTACATACCCCATATTGAAGAATGTAGAGTGTAACTGATACAGAGCGCGCCATGGGAAATCCAGCTACATTTTTATGGAATCAGTTTTGTGAGATCCTGTGATTTTGATCATGTTCTTAATACACTCAGTGTAGAAGCCAATCTTACCAGCTTTTTCTGCGCGGTGACCATTTTGGAACTCCTCATTTTAAAATCCTGGACTGATTCTCCACTTCTAATGAATAACTAAATGCAATTAAGCCATTCAGCTTTATTTAAGAAGAATTTTTTTAAGAAGACGTTTGTATGAGTTTTGATCCCAATTTTCGTTTTGGGTTAACACTCAAAACCTTTTTTAACAGTTAGGAACTGATGTACTATGATAAAATGCCTGTTTGAAGCGGTATTTTCAATTGTACAAAGATGTTTTGTTGCATTTGTGTTAGAWTGTWGCTTTGTCAGGCTTTTTTATAGAAAATGTATCGGAAATAAGCAAATGAAGGCCTAAACCTCATTTTTGATTCAAATTTATGCTTTGGGTTAACAATTTGATTCCACTTTCATCGGTCATCTCCACTTCCAAACAAGTTAAACTTTCTGAATAAAAAGATTTTAGCTTCGTACAACAGCCTTTCTTCAAGAAAATAGTTTTTGGCGCTCACGGCTTGAATACGAAAAGAATTCTCTCTTAATTTATTTAACTCTTTTCTCAGATGAAATATCTTGCAGTTCTCGTTCTTTTCTTACTGAGTTGTGGACCTCTAGTGCGAGGTGAAGCTGAGAAACCAGACGATGAAGAAATTATTGACGATGAAGCTGTTGTGAACAACAAAAGGCTTGTCAGCCCCATAACAAAGATCTCCATTCCATTGATCATCGATTCAAATGATCCTGTCAACTTACGTAGCCGTTACTGCTACTGCTTCCAACTCCGATGCAAAGGTAAGAATTTTCTTTTGCTTGTCATACAATCTTTCATTATCATATCAAACCTTCCTTCTTCTCTTTCATTTGCCCTAAATATTCTTTATTCTTTCTTCCACCCTTTGGGCTTTTGTTCTATTCCTTTTTACGTCTCCTTCCTTCTATACGTTTAGCTACGTTTTGCCTTTTCGCTTTCTTTCCTCAATCGTTTTTCTCTCCCTCCTCCTCTTTGAACATTTCTTCTCATTATCCTTCCTTGTTTTCAATATTGAACTTTTAAAACTACTTAGATGTTTAATTTACTCGGATTTCCAAACTTTTCAGACGCATGTCCTTTTGTGTTGTAGGCTTTCTAAGTGGAAAAAATATCGTAAAAATAACCTTGGTTATAAGCCCTCTAGTCTCCGAACACTATGTTATAAATACATACAATATATTCATTCACTTTAATAAATCTATTCATGCATTTTTTTATTTATTCTATATCAGTTCCTGGAATGGAGAATGGAGTAAAGGGATGGTCAGTCGAGGACAAACAAGGATATGTAGTGGTCTCCGGGAAGCTTTACCGCTTTACTCGATGTGATGTTTCTCGATATAGAAAAGGCCGCTAAGTATGGCCGTAGATAATGAAAGTACATGCAACCGGTACATCTTCAGACCTCTACTCTCTAGAATTTCGATACTTTAGTCATCAAAAAAATTATAAATAACAATAGGGAATTGACCACTTTAGAAACGAGCATGAGACTGGGGCGAGTTTTGAATTTTGATATATTATTAGAATTTTTTTTGTCATTTGATAAAGCATCTCCACATTAGTACGTCTGGCAAATTTGAACATGATTGGATGAAAAGAACCAGAATTATTGGCTTTGAAAAGTGTTGAAAATTTACAAAGAATGTATGGTTAGGGGACAACATACCTTCTTTGTAAATTTTTCCGAGATTTTTGAAGGCTTGTAACTAGCTGGTTCTCTTTATCCAATCGTGTTCAACTTTCACAGACTTACTAATATTGAGATGCTATATCAAATGAGATTAAAATTCAAAACTCGTCCCAGTCTTTTGCTCCTTTCTAAAGTGGCCAATTGATTGTTTTTTCAATCATTCCCAATAGATTAAAGAGACAAAGAGCTGGCGGCCATGTTGGGGGTATGTGATAAATATGTTGTTAGGTACCGCCAACATGGCGGCCATGACATAACTTGCGAAGGAAGAATAGTTAAATGCTAAGTAATGTAGTCAATAAAATGCAACTTATTTTTAGCTTTACCGCGTACGTACGTACGTGTTTTGTAGGGTCAGATATCTTGTGTGCAACATGGTTCAGTGTGTTGTAGGGTAAGATATCTTGTGTGCAATATGGTTCAGTGTGTTGTAGGGTCAGA